TTGTTTATATATTTTGAATGGTGTAAATAAAGTGTTGTTAAAAGTCAAAGTCAAAAAAGTCTTCTTCTTCTTATAGAGATTTGTGGCAGTTGCCAGACCAACTTCTGAGTAATTGGACTGGAGTGAGGACAGGAGATTTACAGCAATCAAAAAATAAACAAACAATGAAACAACCTCAGGAGGTTACAATTAAATGTCCAAATAAGGTTTGGTGGTAGTTTACATGTCTTCAGACACAGAACCTGGATAACAGAGCAATGATCAGAGGGGATGGGGATGTTTCACAGCTCACAATATTATGTATCATGTTGAAAGGGATCAGCCAATAGTCCAACCTTGAACACTGACCATTACTTGAAGAATTGAGCCAGGTGAATTGTCTTACATTAAGATTCCTTAATCTCCAAAAATCTGTCAGTTTAAAACTGGAGACTAATTTATTATAAATATAATCAAAGAGAGGATGCGGTCCTCTTGTGGGGAAACTGTCAGTGAATCCATCTGGAAGTACATTAAAGTCTCCTCCAATGATAAACTGTCTGAGACTTGTGACTTGCAACACAATTACTCCCACTTCTGACAATCAGTCTCATACCCTATATGTAACCCCTCAGGAGTAAAGAGGATTTAACGTTAACAGACTTTTTTCCTAGTTTTTTTTTTACCCCCCCACCCCATTGTTGGAGCTTCAATTGGACCTGAATCATATATACAGTTACATCAAACAGCAAGAAGAATATAGGCCTATACAATCATTCAATTCCATCCAGTATGTGGTTGTAGTATAACCAACAGCCTCTGCCAAGTGTTTGTGTGTTTAGTTTTCACCAAATATGCTGCTGTGCATTTATTCTTTTCTGGATTGCTACAGACATTAAATATCTTTATATTTTCCTTAGTTGTTTACATAAACAAAACCTGAAAAATAAAAATAAAAATCTCTAAGGTGCCACATGTTTATGGAATAGCCTAGAATGAACTGCAGGGGGCAGCAGAACTCCGCGAACGTAATGAGTAACCAAGGGCGTAGAAACGCTTATTGGATTTTACAAAACCACTGTATATCAATGTCATCTTTAGGTCTTCACTTGTTATATTTATTCCAAATTCATGTTTAAAATAACCACTTTTTTAGACTGGTGGTTTAAACAATTATTTTGAGGAAAAGACTCTTACCTTGGTCTCACTGTCAGTTTTTATTTCTCTTTATCTTATTTTTAAGATGTATCATCTACCTATTATAAGATATAAACAGGTCAACTAAAAAACAGAATCAATACATTTCAATCAACCCTTTTCTATCTGACATCTTGTCCCTGCAACTTATAAATATGTTCATGTCAGACACATGTGAACCAACAGACTAGACTGACCTTTGACTTGAAACCCCGCTGCACAGTGTTGTAATGTTTGTTTCTGAGACATATCTGACCTGACAGCCATTTGCTGTTTGCTGAGGCTAGTCCCATCTGTTTTTAACAAGCATTCTTATATAATATTATTAATGTTACTTGTGA